CCACATGGCATGGCAGACCTCTCCTGACCCGCCCGCTGCTCCCCTCAGCAGTGTACTTGGTCGATCTGCCTGTTCTGCTCCCCCCTCTGTCTCTGGTGAAACCTCTCGCCGCCCCTGCACCTCTGGCCTGTACCCCAGTTCTGTATGCATAAATAAATAACTCTTTTAAAAAAAAAAAGTGAAAACCACCTCTTAAAATTAAATAAACAGGCTCCCATGGTGGCACAGCAGGTTAAAGCACAGCACTAAGAAGCCAAAGCCACTGCAGCATGAGTTCAATCCCTGCCCCAGAGGTGACCCACATAGTGCAGCAGACCTCTCCTGACCTACCCGCTGCTCCCCTCAGCAGTGTACTTCATCAGCCAGCCTGTTCTGCTCCCCACTCTGTCTCTGGTGAATCCTCTCACCGTCCCTGCACCTCTGGCCTGTACCCCAGTTCTGTTTGCATAAATAAAGAAATCTTAAAAAATAAATAAAATAACCAATCACAAGGTCAAAACACAGATTGACTCGAATGACTTAAGTATTTCATTTACCTTTCCTGTGCTCTGTAAAATAGTTGTTCGTGTCCTCCATACTCTCTCTCTGCTGACAATATCTCGGGTCACATCTACTTCAGCATCCACAAAACTTCTCTGTTTAAGAGCAGTTATGTCATCATCTAAATCAGTTTTGATAGTTGATCTTTTCTTAGCCATAATTTTGGCTTTGATTGCAGCAATTTTCTCCACTGACATGGCTTCAGACAAAGACCTGCAAACAATTTCTTTTTTCAAATTTTCACATTGAAGAGCTCTTGAACATACCATAAATATGTCATTATACTTATTTTCTTATAGAACAGCTTTTTTAATGGCAACATTTAAGGATTTATCAAACTGACATATTTGTTATTAAGTGATCATACAAGATTTTACAAATAAAAAGCCTATGTAAACTTGTTAGAAGAATCAACAAAAACAAAAATTTTCCCTTTTATTCACTCCTGTCCTCTCTTCCCACCTTCCTAAAAGCTGAATCCATTAATATGGGAGCCTTTTTTACATTGAGATTTATTTGTTAATCCCCACAGCCATCTATACAAATTATACAACAGGCACATACTCCTTGTTGGAATGAGAGTAAAATATTTATTCTGTAAATAATATAAAGCTTAAGTTTTTGCCTGAAATTTATTTCAAGATCTCAAACCTACAAAGCAATTGTGTATAATATACTAGTGTTACAGCTGACAGGCAATTATATACCGCATAAACCTATTTCTTTTAATGTCTGGAATATGTGAACCCACCATATGAAAGTTTTCTTTTTTTCTTTTTCTTGACTTTAAAATAGGCAAAACAATAAGCATAGCCTATGCTTTAAGAATTACTAAAAAAAACTTGGCATTGAAAGTACAGATTTCAAAAAAAACAGTACAGACTTCATTAAAATGCTAAGATTAGTGAAGTTTTTCACACATAAATGTAGAAAAACAGTTAAAAGCGTTTGGGTACCTTAATAACAGTTGACAAAATTATTAGTCTAATCTCAGATGAAAATCTTGAAATATGTTTAAACAACATCTGGAAAGGGGACACGATTTCCTGCAGGTTTAAATACGGGTAGTATTATATAGTATATTATTTTATTGCTATTAGGTATAAAGGTACTTTATAAAGAGATGTTCAATATGCAGCTAGTATGTGATACATTTTATATAATACTGTGCAACTTTCCCTTAAAATCTCAGGTAGCATCTCTTCTGCCTGCCTGTAACTATGCTCTTTTTTCCTTTGTCCTTTTCCTAATAAGCCTGGCCTTTCAAAATGTACAAAATATAAAATCAAATTAAATTAAATCAAAATCATACCACATAACTTGAATAAAACTCAAATATTCATAATTACACATGTGCTGAACTTTCAATCAATGGAATTTTATATACTCGGTCATGATGAACTAACAGGCAGTAGGAGTAACACTTTGAGACAGGTTTCAGAACACATGAAATAAAAATCTACTAGACACAAAATAACAATGAGAGTGATCTTTGACAAATGAAAACCAAATTTGTTGGACCCTATGAATGCCACAATAATTTACTGCCTTGAAAGTTTCCAAAAGGACACAGGAAGGAGAAACCAGAGATTACTTAGTTGACTCCCCAATTTGAGAAACTAGAGCTGAGTGTCTAGGAAGACAAATGTGGTTAGAGCTCAAAAGACAGAGTACCTGAGAAAGGAGAACTACACAGAAGGATCCCAGCAAGTGTTCTAGCAGAATACTGATTAGCTCATGAAAATGAGAAAATGAATGCTGGATGTAGAACCATCCAAGGGGGTTGGAGGGAACAGGCCCAGCACTCACGTAAAGTGAAAAACAGGACTTGTTCCCAAGAGCCTCATAGTCCTCATATTAATGGGACATTATGAGGAATACACCAAATGGCCTTGCCTCTTAAATGCATAAGGAATATACCCTAACTGAACACTGTTCAAGTAACATACCTTAAAATCAGGACTCAAAATGAACAACCTATTTCCAAGTTCCAAAACAAAACTGTAGTAAAACACAATATATTTGTTATTCAGCAAGGTAAAACACAATATATTTGTTTCCACTTGTAGGTTATAATGAGCAAAGGAAAAATAGGAGCCAAAATCAAAACAAAGTGTGTAAGTGACAGCAATGAAGGATTACCAAAATTCAGTACTCATTATTATAACTCCATCCATATGTTCAAAATTAGACATGGAATACATATTTAACAAAGTCATAAGAATAAAACAACACTGGAAATGGGGGGGGGAGCATGCAATTTCGAGAAAAGGATTAGTGAACTACACAACTATAGAAACTGTCCAACATAAATAGAAAGAAGAATTTAAAAAAAAACAAAGTGAACGATTAGAAACTTCAAGCCAAATATGAATAATTAGTTTGCACAAAGAGGAAAACAGAAAAACAGAAACACCAAAAAAAATTCCAAATCCAGTCATAATTACAAATTCAAAAATACTCTCAAGGTCAATTGAGCACAAAAACCATATAGAAAAATAACCCAAGCCATGGCTCAAATATATCAACAAAAAAAAATTTAAGGTAGAGCAAAACAGAAAAAGGATGGTAGTAGATAGCTCACCAGAAACAATACAATAAATGCAGCAGTGTAAGATCTTTAAAATACTTCAAAAAGATGTGACTTAATATTGGATTCACTGAAAATTTTCACGGGGAAAATTGGAAGAATAACCATCAGATTTTCATTTAAAAAATAATAATAGGGCCTTCCCTGGTGGAACAGCGGGTCAAAGCACAGCACTAAAAAGCTAAAGCAACTTCAGCATGAATTTGATCCCCGCCCCAGAGGCAATTCACATGGCATGGCAGACCTGCCTGACCCACCCACTGCTCCCCCTCAGCAGTGTACTTTGTCAGTCACCCTGTTCTGCTCCCCACTCTCTCTGGTGAATCTCTCACTGCCCCTGCACCTCTGGCTGGTACCCGAGTTCTGTAAAATAAATCTTTAAAAAAAAAAATACTATTTCAGGCAGAATAAGAACATGGGTACATGGATCTACAAGAAGAAATGAAGTGCAAAAGAAAAAAGAATTTCTAGATATATATTCTTAAATTTCTTCAAAGAACAAAGGTGTATATAATAGAAACAATGTATAATAAAGAAGCAAAATGCATGACAAAAGAATCATAAAGACCAAAAGGAAATAAATGGACACGTATTATTCAATTACAGTGGGTTCCTGTATTATTGATATATATGAAATGATCCAACAGCTGAAGGTAGACAGTGATCCAATAAAATCACTAGCTTATTAAAATCTCTAAAGCAAACACTAAAAATAACAAAACAATTAAAAAAGATAAAATGGAACAGCAAATATTCTTTTAATCTGAAGGAAGTCCAAAGAAAAGGAAGAAAGAGAAAAACAGTAAATAATAGCAAATAGATGAGCTCCAATTACCAAATCTATAAGCTCATGAAATGCAAACAATCTAAAGAAAATCAAATAACAAACTTGCTACTAAAAAGAATACAATAGGATCATTCTGAAGATTTGACTATAAAAAACTCTAACTTCTATCTCACTTGACCTATCTTTTGCCATCTTGCTTGCTCACTCTGATGAAGCAAGCTGCAATATTGTGAAATAGTCTATGGAGAGACCAACTGTGGCAAAGAACCAAGTTAAGTGTGCTAGCTACATCAGAGGAAATAAAGTTAGTCTAACCTGCAAAAAAACTAAATTTTGTTAAAAACCACATGAGTAAGTTTGGCAGCGTATCCTTTCCCAACCAGCCTACAGAGGAAAACAACCCTGAGAAACACTTTAACAGCAGCCTTGCAAGAAACTCAGAAGTATAAAAGTCACTGTCATCCCAATACTCCTGACTCACAGGAAATGTGAGATAATAAATGCGTGTTGCTTTAGCCACATATTTTTAGTTAAGATGCTGAAAAGCAATACACAATAACATGATCAAGAAAGAGTTCACCCATGAAATATGATGTTCAAAAAAATTAATTTACCATTATGAAAAATTAGTATACTTTTCAATAGAAATCAGAAAAAGCATTTAATAGCCAACATTCCTTTTTCATAAACATCTCAGCAAATTAAGAATAAAAGAAATATTTCCTCAACCTGTTAAAAGATTATCTACAAAGCACCTCAGTTAGCACCAAGCTTAATGGTGAAAGACTAAATATTTTTACCTAAGATGAGGAAAAAGACAATGTCTAAAATCACAACTTCTATTCAACACTGGATAGGCAAGTCTAGCCAGGGCAGTAAGGTAAGAAATAAAAGGTATTCAGTGTGTAATAAAAGAAGTAAAGGTGTATTTTATGTCCGTCTACATAAAGTTTAATCTAGAACAAGAGTTACGAGAATTAATGACTGGCATGAGAACCAAAAATAACATTCCTACCCAAAAATTAACTGTCTTTCTGTATCAGCAATAAAAAAGTATTTTAAGTATCACTTACAAAACAGCACCAAAAGGTATAAAATATTTAAGAACAAACATGAGAAATACTGTTAAAGACCTACACTGAAAATTATGACAATCTGTTGTGAAATTAAAAACTAAGTATCTTTTCATTAATGAAATGTATCTGTTCATAAATCAGAAGACTCACTAATTTTAAGAAGCCAATTATCCCCCAAATGGTGTAGAGATTCAAGTAATCCAAATCAAAATCCCAGCAGACTTTTCTGTAGAAAATGATACAATCATTTTGCAAAAGTTTGGTGAATTTTTGTAAAGTTAAATCTACAATGCTACATGAGCTGGAAAATGAAAACATACGCCCATGAAAAAGTGTACACAAGCACACTCAAAGCTAACAGTCAAAATACAGCAGCAAATGAAATGCCCATCAACAGGTAATTGGGAAAAAAACTTACCTGCATACAAAGGAACAGTACTCAAAGAATTAACTATTGAAATACCCAACATGCATGATTCTCATAATAAATGTTATGTGAGTGGGGGGGGGAAGAAGCCCCAAAAGTATCACACAGTTCCATTTTAATTTAATTCCAGAAAAAAAAACTAATCTGTAGATCATCAGTTGTCTGGAGGAAAGATGTGTTGGTAAGTGGAATTATAAAGGCACAGAGGCAATATGTGATGATGTTATATTCACTACTTTGCCTATGAATTCACATATACATGTGGAAATTTATCAATCTGCATACTTTAAATATGTGAAGTTCATTACAAGTCAACTATTCTAATTAAAGCTTTTAATTATCTACACTGAATTTTTAAGTTTGGACAAAACTTCCACAAACATTACACTGAGTTAAGAAAAAAACTACAAAGTGATTCTAACTACTGTGAAAATTAGGAGTCAACAAAGTAAGGCGATAAGCCAAATTTGGCCATGCCCATTCACTTATGAATGACAGCAAATTATGGCTGTTTTCTCTACCAAAAAAGGGCTAAGACAGTTACAAAAAATAAAGACCTGCAAAACAAAAAATATTTAATTTATGTGGCAATTTACAGATAAAGTTCACGATCTTTGCTATAAATTAAAAGGTTACATAGTAAGTGAATAGCTTGGATTGTGAAGTAACCTTTAACTGGAAAGATTAATATGGCAATAGGATAAAGAATGCTTCCCAGGGCCTCCCTGGTGGCATAGGGGTTAAATCTCAGCAATATCAAGCTACTGTCTGCCACTATTGCATTGAATCCCTAGCCAGGGAGTTACCCCACAAGGTGCAGCAGATCTCATCTGTCTCACCTGTTGCGCTCCTCAGCAGTGTTTTTCAGTAGATTTGACTATTTTGCTTCCCATGCTGTCTCTGGTGAATCCTCTCATCCCCACACCTTTGCCCTGTACCCCAGTTCTTACATGCATAAAGAAATAAATCTTAAAGGAAATTTTTAAATACTTCCCAAAAAGAGTATTTAGTGCAATGATTTCTTATACCTCGTAACGAAACAGGCTCACCCATGAAGGCATATAATGAAAGCAAGAGATAAATGTAGAGGGCATATTAATATCCCTCCCTTATGTACACTTACTCATATGTAACTGTCTATTTTGTAGTAAAAAAAGTCCTTACCTAATCTGCTCTGTTTGTACAATTCCTTCCTTGTGACCCTCCAAACGAGCAGCCAATCTCTCTTTATCAAGGCGCACGCACTCTTCATCCTGAAAATAATCACTGGTTAGAAAACAGTTTTAATTTTTATTAAAACTTTAGTACAACATTTAAATTGTCACCAAAGTTCCCACCTATAAAGTTCCAGGCATTGAAACTTTATAAAGTTCCACTGGCTTTAGGTGAATTTGAAGATTATATTTAGTTACCGAAGGACAACAAAACATATGCTGGAACACATAAAATTAAAAGAAATGACTAAAAGCCTGTCAAAACCTTAGAAATTTGTTTCTCTGATTAAATGCTGTTACCAGGGTTGGTCACACCTATTTTTTTTTTCCAGAAAGAGCTCTTACAACAAATTATTTTTCTTCAAGAAAGTATGTAACTAAATTGTATGACAAACCTTCATCAGTAAAAATTCTCATTTTTGCATCTCATTTTTTGAATTATTATACCACCTGTATCTATCAGCATACAACAAACTACTAGAAACTAAACTTCAATGGTTTTCAAAGTTATGTTCCTCAAAAGAAAGAAACTTTCTTACAAAGTTATCCATGGGCTACTTGTCTGAATGAAATCTTAATAACTCAACTTGAATTATTAGACTTTTGCATAAAATTTAGTAACTCAGATATAATTAATACCTATTTTCAACAAATGAGAAAATATAAGACCAAAAACAGCTTTGGCTAATGAAATATGAAGCTGTATAAAAAATGTCAATATAGTCAAGAGATCCAAAAAATGTTGGGTTCCAAGATATTCACATACTGTTCATGGCCTCCCGGGTGGGGTAAAAGGTTAAATCTCAGAACCATGACTATCTGCAGCCACTGCAGCACAAGTTCTGAGGCAGAACACTCCTGCCCGCTGTTACCCTCATTCCAGTGAATCCTCTTACTTGTCACACCTCTGACCTATACACCAGTCATTGTATGCATACAAAAAATAAATTGTTAAAAAAAAGAGTTGGGGAAAGTTGAATTTTAGTGCCACAAAATTTGTTTCCACTGTAAAGAGGGCGAGGAGCCAGGATGCCTGGATTCTAATCCTGGTCTATACATCTCAGCACATTCCTGTTCTCTCTGAAACTAGTTACTCATAGACAACATGGACGGTATTGCTATTCAGGAAATTATGTTGAAGATTTAACTTAATACACAGTAAGTATATAGAATATTACCTAGCACAAAGTAATTGCACTGAGTTAATCACTGGTATCATTACTTTAAAAACAAGCCCATGGGCCACCCTTGTGGCCCAAGGAATTAAAAGCACAGCACTAAGAAGCTCTCCAAGGCCACTGCAGCACGAGTTCAATCCCCAGCCAGGGAGCTGACCCACATGGCGCAGCAGACCTCTCCTGTCTTGCCCAATGTTCCCTTCAGCAGTGTATTTCAGCCAATCTACTGTTCTGCTCCCCCTTCTGTCTCTGGCAAATCCTCTCATCCCCGACACCTCTGGCCTATACCCCAGTTCTTGTATTCATAAATATTTTTTTAATTAATATAATAAAATTCCATTACCTCAATTCGTGGTTTCTTTGCTTCAGCTAAAACTTCATCTGCAGCTCGTTTGACTATAAGAAAGAAAGAAGTGAACAGTTCAGTTTTGGGGCAGGTTTTTAAAATTCAATATAAATATGTGACAAAACATACCTTGAGTGGATCGCTGAAGACCTATTTCAAGAGGGGCACTTCTGTCTATACTTGCTGATGTTGCTGAAGATTTAAAAATATTTAGATGAGAAAAATCAGTATCTGAACATATATATTAAAAATTACCACAAAAATAAGCTCAAAATTTGTAAAAATTCTTACTTTCTATACAGTGATTTTACTAGGCAAAAAGATTCAATGCTTGGATGGTTTTATTGTGAAATATTAATCTGTATTACAAAGTCTGTAAGAGCACAGACCTTTTAACAATTTAATTACAAAGTATTGTGAGGGCCCTCCCTGGTGGTGCAGCAGGTTAGGACAGCAGGCCCTCCCTGATAGCGCAGCAGGTTAGCAAGCCACAGCCACTTCAGTGCGAATTTGATCACCAGCGCAGAGATGATCCACATTGCACTGCAGACCTCTCCTGACCCACCCGCGGCTCTCCTCAGCAGTGTACTTCAACGATCTGCCTGTTCTGCTACCCACTCTGTCTCTGGTGAACCCTCCACTTCTAGCCTGTACCCCCGTTCTGTAAGCATAAATAAATCTTTTTTTAACAAAACAAATTACTGTGAAGTGACTGAAAACAACTGGCGATTTCAGAAGACATTCTAGTGTTACAATATTAGTACATAAACAAGTATCTAACCAAAATACACAAATGTGTGTGTATGAGGGGAAAGTTCTTTAAGTTAGAGTTCACTTTAAAAGTGTACTTACTGGGGTCCCCACAGTGGCTCCAAGAGGTTGAGTCTCAGCACTATGAAGCTATTAGCCAGGGGGCTAGCCCACATGGCACAGCAGACCTCTCCTGTGTTGCCCACTGCTCCCCTCAGCAGTTTATTTCTGTCAATCTGCCTGTTATACTCCCCCCTTGTCTCTGGTGAATCCTCTCACCCCCTGCACCTCTGGCCTGCACTCCAGCTGTTGTATGGATTAATGAATAAATCTTTAAAATAACTAAATGAATGAATGAATAAAGATGTAATTATTAAAAACTGGTTAATAAGTTTTTCTTTAAATTCATTTAACTTTTGAATGGTTCAAAAATAAAGGAACAGGCCCTCCCTGGTGGTGCAGCGGGTTAAAGCACAACACTGAGAAGCTAAAGCCACTTCCACATGAGTTCTATTCCTGCCTGCCCCGGAGGTGACCACATGGCGTGGCAGACCTCTCCTGACCCGCCCCCTGCTCCCCTCAGCAGTGTACTTTGTTGATCTGCCTGTTCTGCTCCCCACTCTGTCTCTGGTGAAGCCTCTCACCACCCGAGCCTCTGGCCTGTACCCCAGTTCTGTATGCACAAATAAATAAATCTTTAAAAAATATATAAAGGAACAATAACCAATAGATATACCTAAACCTATCTCTTACATAATTTTTAAAATTCTAGTGGACAGGAAATATGCAAAATTGTTTTCATATTTTCTCTTCTATAACACAAAAAATAGCATATTTTACCTTGCCCTTTCTTTTTAAACCCTAACAATGTATCTCTAACATCTCTCCCTATCAGTGTGTGTGTGGGACATTTCTTGAGCTCTTTCTGTGTTTACACAGAATTCTATATGAATTACTTATGATTTAACTAACTCTCCCTATCAATAGAGTTCAGTTCTTATACCCCTACCATTCTAAACAATGACTTTAGATACATATATATTACTTCAAACATTTCTAAGATAGAGTCTTGGGTGTAGGATTTTTTTAGAGGTAATGCTGGTTTACAAAATTGTGTGTATGCATGATACAATTTTTTTTAGAGGTAGTGCTGGTTTACAAAACTATATGGATGCATGATGAAAGTTCATACCTTTTCAAATATATGTTGCCATACTACCAAGGCAAATTAACTTTTTTTAAATATTTATTTAAATAATAATAGTGGTGCCCTCCCTGGTGGCGCAGCGGGTTAAAGCACTGCACTAAGAAGCTTAAGCCACTTCCCCATGAGTTCGCTGCCCGCCTGCCCTGGAGGAGATCGACATGGCGTGGCAGACCTCTCCTGACCCGCCCGCTGCTCCCCTCAGCAGTG